TCCCACCAGCAGCAAAAGAACGGCCAAATTCAGGCACAAATCCATTTCTTTTTTGTCCTACCTTCCCCACACCCTTCAAGTTAGCAAGGAAATGGCACCCTCTGTATTATAACTTTTAAATCTTTTATCTCTTTTCTTTTTTTTTTTTTAATTGCAAACAGGCCCTTTGCTTTCAGAACAACCTCAGATTTTTTTTTTAAATTCACCTCGCCAATGTTTAAATTTCAGCATTTGCCCAAACGTCTATCGACGAATCTCAAACTCATTTTTCCAAAATCCAATAATCCCCAGAAACCACTCACCACCTGCGCTATCGCCTTCACATGCACAACCCACCTAAGCCTGAAATCTCCTGCATCGCTCTTCACGTCTTGGATATAGACGCCCGGAAATAAGTAGATGAAGCCGTGACAGCAACAACCAGCGAGGCAACCTCACGAGTTGAGCCTACAGAGGCAACAGAGATCCCCCGTGCCAGCAGCCCCCTCGCTAACAGAGACCAGACTCCCACCACCACTGCAGAGGGGCTGAAGCTTTCCAGTGATCTCACCTCAGTTAAAAAAAAAAGGAGTCCCAAAGGCACTAGCCTGCAGGGATTCTCCTCTCATCTATGCTCTGAGGCTGGGTTACACTTCTTTTTTCCTTTGGAAGGTAGTAAAAGGGAAAAGGCATCCACACTAAGCACACCAAAGAGCTGAACCAACTGCCAGCAAGCTGTCCTTAAGTCATGTTACAGAGCATCAGCGGTGGGTTAGATATGGTGCCATTAATCAGGGACAGAAATACACTCAAACTAGGCAAAACACAAAATGTGTGCTCTGTTAAGAGTTACCCTCTCCAAATATTGCTGCGACTGCAAGAAAAAAAAAAACAACAAACAACCAACCACCAATTTCTAAATTTGCAGTGTGAGTCAAAGCTTGCTCCGAGCAACTGAACATCAGGAGAGGGAGGTAACACACCAAGGACAAGGAGGTGACACTGCAGCGCACCCCAGTCTCTCCTTCTCCCACACAACCCCCACCGGCAAACAATTCCAGAAACCTTCAAAAATTTTCACGACCAGAAACAACCCTCCTCTTTATTTTCTTAAATTTGTTTAGATTACACAAGATAGCTCCTAACTGCAAGCTCATGTGACCAAAAAACCCCAAATGTAGAAATGCAAAATAAAACAAAACAAAGATTCCCTAATTTAAAGAAGCTGTGCTGGATTTTTTGCTGCTTTTTAAAGCAGTATTTATCAGAACGACTCATGCTTGCTCATTTTGACTGATTGCGATATAATCTGATTTTTTTAAGTGCTAAGATTGCCCACTCCAGGCTGCAGTAACCCTTCCGTGTGCAGAACCCGTTACCTTTATTGCTACCTGCAGACGAGCAGCCAGGGAAGACTCAAACCCTCAGCCGTAAAGGTTAAACTTAAGGTAAAACTCATTTTTTCACAACTTCTTTGCAAACCTCTAAGTTGCCCCAAAAGAACACCCCGCAGTTCCTAACGCAAAGGTGCTGCAAGCTCCCGCTAACAGGAATGCCTCGGGATACACTCGCAAATGTTTAGGACAAGTTCCAGGGTTACCTGGAGTTTTAAACTCAGCTCTGTCGAGTTTGATATTGAAAAGGATGCAAAAAAATTTAGGAAATTTTGTAGGAAATAGTTATTCTTTGCAACAAAAGGTAACTTTGGTTTGAAAAACTTCACACGGAAATTAGGCCCAAGTACACAGCTTAAGGAAAGCAGCAAATATTATACCCAGCTGTAAGTCAGATACATTTGGGCTCTTGAATAATTTTAAAAAAAGAACCCTAACCAGCAAAGATTCTTGAATTGAAATCATAAATTAAAAAACATATATTCAATCTCATATCTACTTAACAATATATTTACTTGCTTAAAAAATGGAACGCAAAGAAAACCTTATTTTGGTAATATAATTTCAGCCACGGTGTTTCAGATGATAACAGGTCCGGAATATAAATTAACATGTTCTATCTTTACATTAAATAGTCTGCCAAACTCGGGCATGGTAACAGCTCCTAAATATCACAACAACAACAAAAAAATACCCGAAAACAAACAAGAAAGGATTCACTGACTCGAGGTGGCATGAAGTCAGAGGAAGAAAATTAAATGTTGAGTCTTTTAAACGTTATTTTATTGGTCCTCCTCAGAGCCCTACTTGGCTGTAACTCTTTTATTATGCAGAAATGAATTCTACCTTGTACCCTCTGCACTGCATCTGCTATTTTGATGCCTGTTCCTCCAACACGGGAGTACTTATACTGATGGCAGCAACGTTCTTCGCTCCCCCCACTTAAAAACATACATGGTTTGAAAATATCAACAAAGAAGTCCCCAAGTAAAATAGTGGTTTTCTGTGGGTTTTTTTTTCCCCCTCGGGGCATTTTTTTTTTTTCGGTATTGGCTGTAAGGAATAGCTAATATATTTGAAGTACTTGGGAAAGTTAGTCTAGTCATAACTCGTCAATGCCCTAAACCTACCCACCTTCAGATACGCTGTACATTGCGTTCCAGTTTATGATTTTTTCTCTGTAAAGAATATATTTCAAGTAATTTTTTCAATTTTAAAAAAAGCTGCTGTCTATCCGCCTTTTGTTTAGAGAAACTCTGCAACTGTGTGCATTAAAAAATATATACTGCAACATAAAAAGAAGCGTTGCTTTATTATATACATAATATATGAGATATATCATCACCCAAGAAGGGCCATCTAAAACGCCCCAGTTGCAAACATTTAAGACTGTAACAAAAATGACTGAGACTCTAGTATCAGTTTACTATCCTTCAACAATTTCCCTGACAGTGGAGTCAAATAATGTTGAATTATAGACCTTCTTACAGGAAGTCTTATTTCATGTTCAGTTTTTGATCATTTCCCTCCTAGTCCCTATAGGAATTTGGCTCTTTGCCGATTCGACTTTAAAAGTTTCTGCACACATAACTGGCTTGTGCATTATTAAATTATAATTTTTGTCAAGTAATACTACTGTGGATTTGCTCAACAAGTTTGTTTTCTGTAAGAAAATACTATTTTGTCCCTATAAAATCTATCTTATGCTGGTAATGTCTTTATGTCTTTATTTGGATGCGGTGGCTCCTTTATAATGTGTTTTCCTTAAAAGAACTTCTAAAGTCTTTCTGTAGACACAGGAGGGGAATTTTACAGTTCGGACTACAGCACCTGGATGCCAAGGTGATGTGGCTTCAAGAAAACAGCCCCATGGCAATAGTTCAGGATTATCCAAGAAACTGAATTTCTGCTATCTGACTACAGACAGTCTTTGGGGTTTTTTTTTTTATCAGAGGGACTTTTCCCATCGGCATCACACAGCAGCTGTGTTCTAAATCTTTCCGGGCTCTGACAAACATTTGAAAATTTAAACATGCAAATGTTTGAAAAGCTAATGATTAAAAAAGGTTTATTTTGAAACTTTGAGGATGGGCGCAATCCTTCAGCTAGGGTTTTTAAAGTCCCGGAGCCTGGTTGTTCTCGAGTTCAACTATCCCCAGCAAAACCTCCAAACTTCTGCCTTGTACTTCTGGGGCCGTAATGGTAAACAACAACTCTGCAGGTCCCACTCTGGCAGGCAGGGTCGCGCCCGTGGGAGAAGGATGCTATTTTAGTGACCTATTGCCACTGAGCTAGTTAAATCACTGAACAATGGTTAGCGTTATGGGGCTTTACTTTGCAAAATCTAGCATTAGTGTCATTGCTTTCCATTAACCGGGGGACTTATAGGCACGGGAATTGAGAGACCTATAAGGAAAGAATAAATAAAGGGAAACCAATAAATTTTAAAAAACCCTCCACCCTGTTAACTGTAACCTTTACTACCACAATATAAGAAAATGTAATTAAATCCATAATAAAAGCTTTTACATACTTACTCTTTTACTACTCTGAGAAGCACAACGGCGGGCAGGCTGAGGGACAG